ATTTAATTTAATTTAATTTAATTTAATTTAATTTAATTTAATTTAATTTAATTTAATTTAATTTAATTTAATTTAATTTATTATTTAATTTAATTATGTGCGGCCCAAACCAAATTTTCATCTTCTAATGTGGCCCAGGGAAGGTGAAAGGTTGGACACCCCTGTCTTAGATTATAATTCCAGAACAATATATTCAATGCTGAAAAGACTTATTTCTTATTGCCAATATTATGCCAGCTCATAACAGTCCATTTAAGGCCCAGGTGCACAGATGTAGATAGTCCTTATAATAGTTCCCTAATAATATTTTCCAATATTTATGAAGGAATACTTTTCTCCATATGTTTGAATAGCAGTAATAATTGTAATAATAGGAACTGAACTTAGTTACATGTTCAGATAAAATGTCCAGTTGTAAGAGCAGATTGCATTCAAATGCATAAGAGTAAATGCAGTATCTTTTCTAGGAAGAGTACAAGAAAAGTCTGAATAAAAATGTAGCAGAAATACTATAGACATCTTAATATATCAGCAAATCATACTGATAGATCTCAGTGCCTTTAAATTCATATGTTCTTATACTGTATTTCTTCCACTTATCTATCTTCATACTTCATATATTCAGAAAATAGCAAGAAATAGCATTTTGAGAATCCCAATTCTTTTTGAAATAAAAACAAAAGCATTTCCTAGTTGTAAAGGCTTGAAACTCATTGTAAGAAAAAGTGAAAGCTTCACAGAAGTAATTTTCATTTGTACAATTGTAACTAATTCTGACAAAAAGTTAATAAGAATGCATCCCCATTTAAAGCATTCTGAGCAGTGCAATTGGAAATTGATCAGGTATTTATAAGTATATACAAATAAAAATGGGCATAACATTATTAATAAAACTAAAGGATCTTCATACAAATTAGACTTTAAAATAATCCCCAAAATACTTTAACAATACAATGGTTGAATATTCTGGAAAATCCATAAAACAAATTCTAAAGTGCTTTAACTAAAACATGTTATCTTAAATAAAACCAGTTTAAGAGTGCATTCAGTATGGGATAAAACACAGCCCAAAGATTGTCCTGTATTGTCTCAAAAACATGAGTGCAATTACATCCATAGATACTGCTAAAAACACCCTAAAATGTTTTGTTTCCAAAATCCTAGCATCAAAGAATGACAATGGAATGGAAGAGATTTACCCTGTTACTTTTTAAAGTGTGATGAAACCTGAAGGATGCCAAACTGCCATAACAATGGGGTACAAATCTTCTCCCACAGACAAAAATTGTAGGCTCTCAGAATGCTTGGAAACCTTCTCCACAGCTATAGGATAGGACAGATTACAAGTTTCTTCATATTCTGCACTTGCACTCTATTTTACTAGTTATTTTATTTGCATGCTGTCCTTAATCTAGGGCCATAGCTTGTTCTCCCAGGCAGACTGAGTTTTTAAAGTGTAATTTGCTGGAGGTTGAGTTTATACACACTCCCTTCAACAGGTCTATACCTTTAATAACAAGTCAGGGCTCTAATAACCTTGAAGTGTTTGTGGCAAACATTTCAAAGTAAGTAGCATGTTTTTTTCTGCAACACTTTGAAGTTTTTTTTCCCCTCCCTGGATGAAGTTTTTCCTATATTCTTATCCCTCCAGCAACAACTGTAGAATAAAATAAAAAAAAAAGAGGGGGAAGAGCACTATTTTCCACTCCCAAATACCCTTTACACATATAACCCAAGTTTTTCAAAACAAGCATATGTGAACTGCTCGACTGCTCGATCAAAATGCATTACTGTCTGAGCTGGAGCAGAATTTGGAGGCTTTTATTCCGGCGGTTGACAAGATCGGCGGTGAGCCGCCAAGTGATAATTGCATCTGAACCTCGTAGCCAAGCCAAATCCGCTCTTGGAACAGTCGTCGTACCATGACATCTTGCCACTGGAGAAAAGAAAAAAAATTGGTTTGGGTTCGTCCCCCCCGAGAAGAAAGAGAGTCCTTCAAATCGCGAACGTGCATAATTTGAGAGTTCTTCCTTTTGCAATCTTGTTTCCTACCCGATCGTTTGCAAGGCCAGTCTGAGAGGTGGGCAGTTCCTTGCTGGAAACCCGCCTCCTTGTCTGAAGCCTCACCTTTCTCCTTTCACCAAACCCAGCCTTAGACTCGGGCCGGCTGCTCGCCAGTGCGTTCCCTCTTCGCCATGCCGGGTTCTGAGGCGCTCCTTGCGCTCTTGATCTCGCCCCTTCTGCTTGCTTTGGCCCTTGTTCTCTCGAGCCCTTGGAGGCTCCTAGATTCCCAGCCGCCTCTAGATTTGTTGAGGGAGCTGAAGCAGCGGCAGCAAGACCTGAGTCGCCTGGCAGCCTCTGCCCAAGCGCGCGCTTCTCTACCCGCCGCAAGGCGCGCAGAGGTCGCAGAGCCTTTGGGTTGCGCGCAACTGAACGGCCTGAGCGATGTGGGCGTGGTAGGTGCTGGCATCACGAAGCTGGTGCTGAGGGCAGTTCTGTCGCCCGGTGGCGAGGAAATCGCCCTGAAATCCGTGCACTGGACAGGCGTCGACGTGAGTCGCTGTGTTCAACGCTACGGCCACGCGGAAGGTTGTTTCCAGCTCGCTGCTTACAAGCTGTTGAAGGAGACGATTCTGCTGCAGACTCTGGATCACGAAGGGATCATTAAGGCACGTAGTACCCGCCAGCGCGCTCGGGAAGGAGGGCAGGAGACCCATCCTAAGAGCCTAACTGGATGTTTTGCATAGTTGTAAATGCTGTACCTTTCTTAAGATATCTTACTAATTACGTTTCTTCCCACTTTATTTATTTATTTTGTTTATTTAATTTGTCAATCGCTTACAAGATAATAGGTGTAAGTATATACATAGTTATGAATACATGAAATGGGTACATATAAGAAAAATAAAAGGAACAGTAGGACAGGGACGGTAGGCACATTGGTGTGCTTATGCACGCCCCCTACTGAGGAAAGGGGTGAGGTCAATTGTAGACAGTCTAAGGTTAAAGTTTTTGGGGTTTGGGGAAGAAACCACAGAGTCAGGTAGAGTATTCCAGACATTGACCACTCTGTTGCTGAAGTCGTATTTCCTGCAATCAAGTTTGGTGTGGTTAACCTTGAGTTTATATCTGTTGTGTGCTCTTGTGTTGTTATGGTTGAAGCTGAAGTATTCATGGACAGGTAAATCATTGCAATGTATGATTTTATATACCATACGTAGGTCAGACCGAAGACGGCGTAATTCAAGGCTTTCTAGGTCTAGAATTTCAAGTCTGGTGGCATAAGGTATTCTGCGATGAGTAGAGAATTCTTCTTGTGAAATATTTCTGGACTTTCTCAACTGTGCTAATATCAGATACGTAATGTGGATTCCAGACTGATGAGCTGTATTCGAGTATTGGTCTAGCAAATGTTTTGTATGCTCTAGTTAGTAGTGTGATATTACCAGATAAAAAGCTACGTAGGATTAGGTTAACAACTCTTAATGCCTTTTTGGCTATGTAGTTACAGTGGGCTCTAGCACTTAGATCACTAGAGATGAGTATTCCAAGGTCCTTTACAGAGCTTGGATTATCAACAAGGTCTTGACTATTCAGCTTGTATTTTATTTTCTGATTTTTTTTTGCCAATATGTAAGACAGAGCATTTATTTGTTGAGATTTGAAGTTGCCATTTGTTTGACCATTCTGATACATAGTCAAGATCTTTTTGAAGGGTAGCAGTATTGTCTGTGTTATTGAACAGTTTTCAACCACGTGATGGTTGAACATGCTTAATCCAAGATTATTGATCTTTACACAATGTAAGGTAATAGCCCGATCCTACTTTCCTGTCCTCGATTAGTAGTTTCAAAGTTGTAGCTCATGACAGTTCACTGGGAATGGATATCAATATCTATAAGCTGATTCATGGCAGAATAGTGTATAAATTTTTAAAAATGAATCCACTGGTTTTGTCATACGACCAGATTTAAGCACTCAAATATTCTTTTTTTAAATCTAACCTCAGATTAATAGCTTTTAGAAGGAAATGTTACAGATATATTTTCTTTTGTAAATTATTTTATATGCAATGCAACAAGTATGCCTGTTCTTCCAACATTCCTTTGATTAGTTTAAAGGGGTCCTATTCTAGGTTTACATACAACACACATAAAATCAGTCACATGATGACTGATCAATTAAAAAAAATTCCTAGCTGGATTTGTTGGAGGGGACAGTGCATATTTGGAGTAAAATGCAGGATTGCTGCTATATTACTCAAATATTTAAACATGCACCTTGTAAATTCCAGAAATTTGCTACTACAAAATATGAAGGCAGCTTAGTTTAATGGCTTTAAAGAGGATTAGTCAAATTAATGGTGAGTTAGGCTTTTCGTGGCCATGTTTCATAAATATCTTACTAACCTCTTGAGTATCACAGTGGTGATTAATCTTGAGGTCTTGAGGTCTTAGTCTTGAGGTGTTGATAATGTGCAAGTGTGCTGCAATCCTTTCCACTAAATGTGCTGGTTGATGCTGTTGGCAGTATTAGTCTTGTGATACCTGAACATTCCCTGCAGATGAAAGTGTGTGCTGACTCTTGGCAGGTCTTGGAAATTGAGTGTGGTTGACCTTATTCAGTTCTTGGATTTGTGACCATGTGGGAATTTTAGGACTATTAACTAGGCTGAGAAGTAGACTAAGAATATGTCAGAGAAAGGCAGAGACAAACTATTGCATTGTCAAGAAAATGCACAATAGTGAAAAATACTATATTTAAACACCTGAAGGGCCATAGGGTTCCATTTTGGAATAGCATATGTTAGGAAACAATAATGGGAGAAATTTCATGCTTATATGCCTTGCTTGTAAGCTTTCTTTGGGAAGCCCAATTTGGCTCCAGGGGCTCTGATGCATGCAGCCCTCAAGATGTTTTCTCTCCCATGGTTTACTGATACTTTCTGTAAGAAAGCCATAATATTTATTTAGCGGGGGGAAAGGTAAAAGTGGGGAGTATCATAAAAAATATGCCAGTTGAGCTTGCAGTATTAAATAAAATAAAAAAAAATGATCTCAAACATAAAGTACAGTGGATAACATCTAATCTGAATTCACTTTCTTGGTCTGATTATTGTTTATGACCCGACAGAGCTTATAACTGGAGGAAACCCACAAAAAACAATTTTCTAAACCTCTTTGAAAGAAAATTACTCTTGGATGATTTAGTGGTAAATAAACACAAGTAAGAATAAAGAGTTATCTGGGAGGTATAAACCCTTAACTTCAAGATGAAGATGAATTAACTTGATTAACTTCTACCAACAGGCTTGGGTTCAACTATGTAAGGCAACATTTACTGTAGTAAGAGCAGTTGGGTTTTTAAATAAATCTTCATTTGACCTTTCTTACCATTAGCAAAATATATTTGGGGTTTTGTTTTTTTTGCAAAGAATTAATTTCTGTATTTTGCATCTGTATTAATACCTCATTCTGCTTTTCTCCTGACAGCTGCATGGTCAATGCTATAATAATAGCCTATATCCTGAAATGAAAGTGGTTTCCATGCTGGAGCTTGGAACCCCTTTGGAGATGATTCAGCTTCTGCAGATCCCCTGGGAAGAGCGATTTAAAGTAAGGAGACAAAAGGCAAAATGGGTTTTATCAGTAGTGCTAGACCCAATCCTGAATCATTCCGTGATAGAAGGAAGGGTCTGGGAAGGAAGGGTCTTTGCTATTAAAAATATGATATTAAACTTCTGTGTAAATCTGTGGACATGCCATTCCTGGAGACATTCTAGCTCATATAAATCTTTGGGCCTGGAAGCTATTAGAAGTATTGTAACACATCAGTGTCAATATATCTGTAAACATATATAGGCAGGAGCAAATTCTCTGCACTGACATTTCTGGACTGTTTCAAAGGCAACTTATCTACACTATACTACTAATAGTTGAACTTAGAATGTATATTCAAGGTGCAGTTAAACAATATAGAAAAATAGGCTGTAATCCCATTACATTTTTACATTAGATCAACATATACACTAAGACCTTAAGTTTTTTCCATAAGAGATATGTTGTAATTCCAGTGAATTGTGCATTAAGCTGCAAAATAGTAGGAAGAAAGAAAGGTAGACTGCTGATGTTATAATGTAAGAAAACCTCTTATTTGTTTACCATCTCTCTTTCAGATTTGTCTGGATCTGGTAGAACTGCTCTATTACTTGGCAAATTCTCCTCTGGGTTCCATTGCTCTTCTAGACTTCCAACCAAGGCAATTTGTTATGGTGAATGGGCTCCTGAAAGTTACAGACCTGGATGATGTGAGCACTGAGGAGCTGTCTTGCAAAAGAGATCAAGATTGCATTCTCAAATTCCCCACAAAAACCTTCTTTCTCAAATGTGCCAGCCATAGGAATTGTAAAGGAATAAATGAGAAACGGAATCTTTTCAATGCATACAGGTAAGTGGGATACATTTAAAAGAAGAACTGGAGAAGAACACCACACTTTAGCAGTTTCCTTCATTTAGTATTTCCTTTTTTGTCAGACTTCTCCAACTACTGTCTTCTGGTGCAATCCTCAGAATTCTAGCTGTGAAGACCAGCGTGTCTGGAACTCTGGGTCTTTTACACAATACATCTGGAATGCTAATTTATAGGAAGTTGTTCTACATTGCTATAATTCTTTAAATATTAGTGCATGGTACTTAGTAGTATTTAGACTACAATTAGCATGGTTATCATTCATAAATGCTTTTTCCAGAAACCATATATTAAGCTACTTTTGGCTTGCTTTTGAAAATTCCTCAGGCTTGGGGAATAACATACTGAACAAACTTAGAGTAATGTTTAGATCCAGGCAAACAGGTGGTACTAATAAGTATGTACTAACTTTACTAGGAAGCAACAAAAAATGTAAGTATATATTTTATAGCAGACACAGAACCAAAAAAAGTGTTCTTTACATTAATTAGTATGGATATAACATTATTAAAATTTTTGCTGAGATAAAACTAGTAGCGCTTATGTGCAAGAAGCTCTTGAGTCTTCTTCCTGCATGACTCACCTTATTAGAAAATGAAAGGTAGCTCATTCTCAGAGCAACTAATATATGGAGAGCACCTTATTAGAAAATGAAAGGTAGCTCATTCTCAGAGCAACTAATATATGGAGAGCACCAGGTTGGAGAAAGTTGATTATCATCTGGGAAACTAAGGTTGAGAGACACTTGCAAATAATGTATGTCTGTTTAAAACATGATTTCTTGGCTGGATTTGTATGCTATACAATGATATACTGCTTGTCTTTTATAAAGATTTTATAAAGCCTTAAAAATCCAAAGGCCTCCCCTGGCATTGGGCCAGGATGTTGGACAAAGTTGGTTTAGTAATGGTTGTTTCTTATTTAATATCTTTATTTCTCTTTTAACTCCAGAGTGGCAATTAGTGAGTTGGGTGGCAATTAGTGGGTTCATATAAATTGAATAAATAAATAAGCTAAGATGTATTATGGCTTAACATGATCTTTAAATCCTGCAGGTGACTTTGCCATAATTAGCTCATGAGAGTGGGATCAAAGATTCAGACAGTTCTTTAAAATTAGTATATTGCTGAATTTGCATACTTTAAACAAGAAATTGTGAGTTTCTTTGAATTAGTTAATGAATTTTCTCTTGCCAAGTCACATGGACTGATGCCTCTCTTATCTCATTATATCTTCTTCTTCTCAGGCACAAAAACTGGGCAAATGTTGTTTACAAATGGGATATTTCAAATATGTTCCAATTCATTTCTGGGAGGCTTATGGACAAAACTGGAAGCATCATTTCAATAACAAAGTTATTTGAGAAACAGTGATACTTTGTGAGATTCATTGTGGGGTGAACCAAACACATCAATAAAAATAAATAAAAAGCCATTTTTGGTATAACGTAGGATAAGACATATTTTTCTGTTCTGAATTTAGCTCTAACCAAGAAGCTTCAATTTCAATTTGTTAGAAGATATAAGATTTAGGATTTTTGTTATCAATCTTTACTAAAATTTAGAAGATTTCTGTTTTAATAAGTAAGGCTTCATATATGTTTTTAGGTATTTCTTCACGTATCTCTTACCTCATACTGCACCTATTGCTTTGCAACCAATTCTGAAGGACATCTTAAATGCCACCGGTAAGTGCTAGTTCAAAATATTAAAGATATGTATAAAATGTTTATATAAAGCACTGCTTTACAGTATTTTTTGCCTTAAAACATTCATCTCCCCTCTGCATGTAGGTGATTTACGATATGGAGCCAATGAAACTTTACGAGCTTTCCAAAAAGTTTTGCATTTGTACAAGTCAGGACTTTATCTGCAGAAAAAGCCTTCTCACCTAAAAGGTATGGATCTCATAACTAGTGAGGAAGATCATACTAAATGCATAAGGACCTGACTCAGTTAAAATGTGCTTAATTAAAGCCCGTTGTAATCAATGGGAGATGTAGCTTGGTGAACCTAAATCCCTTTCAGACTTGACTCATTAGATTTTGATAAAATTAGCTTTCCCTAAAAAGGGACCTCTGAATACATTTACTTCATTTTGGGAGCTTTTCTTTTGAACAACTCTCAAGCATTAGTAAACCTAGGATGGGAAATGAGGGCATACCTTCTAGTGCTGATACTAATGAGTCTTATCAGCCGTACTCCTCTGCTATTATTTATACAACATACATCTGAAAAGTCAATCAACTTCAAAGCAGCCAAGCTTCACATGCTTGATTATCTTTTAAGATAATATTGTGCATATAACTATGGGAGTTGAGATTGGTCTACATGAACACCTTAGGCTCCCCTCTTAATGCGTACTGAGCCCTACCTGATATTTTAAAATGTTTAATAAAACCAATATATAAGGAAATGACATTTATAAAGCAAAACTTTGTAACTATTTGTGGTAATGCTTTTAGACTCCATTAGTGTTTTCCTGGGATATTAGAGAACTTTAGTGGAGAGGAAGCTAATTTACTTGTAGAAGATTTTCCTGACCATAGTGGACATTTTGTGAATAGGCAGATTTCCCATGGCAACCATTTTGTAGGTGCATCTATTATAAACTTCAACTTTCCAAATGCATCTTAGGCTCCAAAGATGGCCTACTACAACACTAGAGTATGGTGATTGTGGTCATAGCCCCATTTCTATTTCATATATCATGGGTTGAGTAATGGCTTATCTTCTAAACATTCTAGTTTTTAGATGGTATGCTAAGGTCAGTTTCATTATGAATAAGTTTATTGATTTCTTTTGCAATGCTTTTTAAATTGGGGAGATATTGCTAGATCTTGAAAATTCTGGCAGGACTGCTTGAAGAATGGAACTCCTGCTTTTTCATGTAATAAATTCTACATCCTTCTAAATGAAAAAATAGAGTCAATGATTACATGAAGGCTGTCAAAAGAGATAAGAGTTAAATGTTATGGCTTTCCACATTGCTAATAAAGAGTACCTCTGGTATGCGTAAGAGACAAGATTTATGACTGTTTTGCTAGACATGCCTGGGAAGATAAATTCTGGTTGGGATGAAAATCTTAAAACATCCTTTCCATTTTTCTCATTTCTTGAATACTTCTGAGTTTCCAACAGGTACATAGTAGTAATCCTTTATCTTTTCTTCCTACCACCAGAATATTTTGTTGTAAAGGGATTCTACAGTATGGATACAGAGGACTATAAGTGTTGGCCTTCCTATAGCCCTTTGAGATGCATGTTGTCGGTTCATAATGTAGAGGAAGCTGCCTCCATTTGCAATTACCATCCACAGTGCCAACATTTTATCATCACTTCACAGAGAACATGGACAGGTGAGAATGGATGGCATTATGAACACCATTTAGGCATTTTCCTAAAAGATCCATAAAAGATTCACAGAAGAATGTAGGCATGCTTTTACTTGGATTTGAGTCAGTTTAAACTCTGGAGGAAAGAGATTCATGTCAGTTTAACACTACCAACTGCTTGCAAAGATCTTCACATATTTTGTGCAATGTTTGACAGGGCATTCATCTGTATATGCATACAGCTCTGACCATAAGCAGGAATCCTGAAAAGGCAAATTTTCTGATTCAAAATAGGTTATCAGCATTTTTAGAGAAAAGCACGTACAAAATTTTTTTGCAGAACCATGAACAGCTTTGTAAACACCCAACATAAGAAATGCAGGGGATATCTCCACATCCTCTTATTTTAGTTCTACTTTGGGGCAGGTGACCATTCAAAACATTCAAGGTAAGTAGCTTTTTTACGAGTTGGCTTCATCTGTTTTATCAGCTTCACAGATTTTGCTCTAAGTTAAACTGAATTTTGTTAATTTTAAAGAATACATTTTTAATCTATTTTTTTCCTGTACCATCAGGCACAGATTTGAGATATGCTATATCAAGATGCATATTTTTGCCGATGACATAAAATTATTCAGTACTATAGATAATTCTGTTGTTTTCCAAAGTGATCTTGACTATGTGTCTGAATGGTATCTATTTGGCAACTTCAAATTTTGATCAATAAATGCTCTGCCTTACATATTGGTAAACGTAATCAGTATGTCAAGTATAAGCTAGGTGGCACTGAACTAGCTGATGACCCTCACTTTGTCAAGAACTATGTGTATTTATCTCTGATAATCTGTGCTCCAAAGTTCACTGTAACAGTGTTGCTAAAAGAAGCATTAAGAGTTGTAAATTTAATTTTGTGCAGGTTTTTTTCTGGAAACATTGTATTGCTAATTAGAGCTTATAAAACCTATGCTAGACCAATTCAACTATTTGGAATCCCCACCATATATCTGTACAATCAGTACAATTGAATGGGTTCAGAAGTATTCCACAAGAAAAGTCTTGCACTCTTCTGTACACAATATAATCCCCTAGTAGGCTCGAAATTCTCGGTTTGGATAACTTAGAACTGCGTCGCTTGCAGTCAGACCTAGGTATTGCGTACAAAATTATAGGTAGCAATATTTTACCTGTAAATAACTTTTTTTGTTTTAATCGCATGCTAACAACCGCTTTAAACTCAATGTAAATCGTTCTAAACTTGACTGTAAAAAATATGATTTCTGTAATAGAATTGTCAAAGTCTGGAATGCTCTACCTGATTCAGTTGTTTCATCTATAAATGTTCACAGTTTCAGTCACAAATTGACTTCCGTGGACCTTAAGTGGTTAGTAGAGGAGGTTTGCATAAGTGCACTAACATGGCTATCGTCCCTGTCATTGTATTTTTATTCTTTTATTCTAGTTCTCATTTTTGTTTGACAAATTCTAATAAATAAATAAATAAATATTTTGATTCATGAATCTACATCAGATTCCCTCCCTTCCCGATTGAAACTGGTTTACTCTCTGATTACATTTTTACATTCTACTATCAAAGACAGAATAAGTAATTCATGTTGTATACAACTTTTGTATAAAATACCTTGGGTATCCAAGTTAAAAGTTCTAAAAATTAGAACTTCTCTTATAATATTTATGATAATAATTTTTATATCTCCAAAGCAACATGCTTCATGAATGTCCTTTAATTAACATTGCTTACAACCTTCCATTGAATGCTGATGTTACCTAATTTGGGTAATGAAACATCCGCAAGAAAACAACCAAGCTCAGAGAGCACCAAGGGGCCCTCATCTCAACCCTGAGCTATAAATATTCTTCTTTATTGATACTGCAGTATATCTCTCTATAGGACAAAATAAAGGCTTGAATGGTTAAGCTCCTGATGCATTTAGGATTGGGTACAGAGGTGGTTTTTCAGTGTTTCCTCTTGAGATATAATCTGATCCAATAGACTAGCTTGAAGGTCAAGTCCGCCCTGGTGTTTTCCTATCCAAGTGCTAATTAGAACTGGCCTTTTTTAATTTCCAAGCCCAGACAACCAGACGTTACCCCCAGATTATTTTTATTTAATAAATTTCTGTAGACAAATTAGCAAGGAAAAGGAAATGAGTAAGTCTGAAGATTTTCCCAACCTGGAGCCTGTCAGATATGCTGGATTCCATATTCTACCATTTACATATAGTACACCTCTAGCTGAGGATAAAAGGAGTTCTAGGTCAAATTAAGCTGGGCAAGGTTGTTTTAAAGCATAAGGAAGCTTTTCCCAATGTTTCCAGATGTCTTGGATGACAACACCCGCTAAGCTTGAGTATGTGTTAAGTATGCCCTGCAGGTGTTGATTGATTCTGCTCAAGTCTGTGACATACTTTATACAGTCTAGACCCCTTGAGAATCATTGCACTATGTTGTTGAATTACTTTATCAATTTCTGCCCATCTTTCCTCTCTCTACCTTTATGGCCAGAAGAGGAATTTGCATTATAGGACTTCAGAGTATGGTATGGAACATGGTTTGGCCCTTATTGTGG